CGGGGCCAAGCCGACACACGCCTGAAAAACACGACTGTCGGCATGCTTCGCAAGAGTTGCTGTTCTGAAACGGGCTGGTGGGGATACGCGAAGCGTAAAGAATAAGCTGTGAGGGAGTCCTAGGCGTGAGCGCGACTCCTGGGCACCTGAGTGCCAGGAGCACGGCGCTTGAGTAAATTACAAGGAATTCAAACGCAAGAGCGCGATTCTTGAATAAATTGAAAGCAAACCTCCAGCGAGGCGCGTGGAAGAGGCTGTTCCGTTTGACTCGCCTTCGTCGACGTCGTCATCGTCGTCGTCGTCCCCGTCGCCGCTCCCTCTCTTTCGGTGGGCCCGTCGAGGCCCTCCCCTTTGCCTGGGTCCTCCTCCTCAAGCGCGCCAGCCAAAACAAAATTGAGCAACGTCGTAATTGAGTCAAAGGGAAGCCCCTTCCCTTTGATCCCTTCCCCGCTGGGGGGGGAGGGGGTCCCGGGGGGTGTCCCGGGGGAGGTCCCGGAGGGTCCCGGGTCAAAATACCACCACCCCCCTGGGGGGCGGGGCCCCAAAAAAAGCCCCAAGACGAGCAAAGAGTACCCCAAGAGGCCCCCCAGACGGTCCAAGAGGACCCCGGGATCGCCGAACGATCCTTCCAAGACGTCTTTACGACCTCCAGACGACCCAAGAGGGCTGGAAGACGCCCCAAGAGGCCTCGAAGAGCACTCCCAAGAGAGCCCCAAGAGATGATGTTCCATAAGTTATTCAAGGATTTGGGCGTTCTCGCCTTTTCAGCTTCCCGACGCTCCAAAGCGGCCCAGTAGGCTCCCACGATCGCCCCAGGAGGCCTCCAAGAGGATCCCGAAACGGACCAAAGAGGGCCCGAAGACGGCCCAAGACGCCTGCAAGACGGCCCGAGAGGCCCACAAGAGGGCCCCAAGAGGGTGCCAAGAAAGAGGAACCAAACGGACCATTCGAGCCCTCGGCCTCGAGAGGCTCCCAGGAGACCCCCAGAGGCCCTCGAGAGGCCCCCAAGAGGCTCTAAGAGGCCCCGAAGAGGCCCCAAGGAAGCCCCAAGAGGCTCCCAAGAGGCTGCCAAAGAGGTCTCCAAGATGCTCCAAGGAGCGCCCAAAACTACGCTCCAGAGGCCTCCGAAGAGACCCCAAACAGATCCCCTGAGGACTTTGACCCACGTCGTCGTCGTCGTCGTCGTCGTCGTCGTCGTCGTCGTCGTCGTCGTCGTCGTCGTCGTCGTCGTCGTCGTCGTCGTCGTCGTCGTCGTCGTCGTCGTCGTCGTCGTCGTCGTCTTCGTCGTCGTCGTCGTCGTCGTCGTCGTCGTCGTCGTCGTCGTCGTCGTCGTCGTCGTCGTCCCCCTTCAGGGTCGTCGCCGCCGTCGTCGTCGTCGTCGTCGTCACCGTCGTCGTCCCCCCTCAGGGTCGGCGGCACCAGCCGCAAGGCCTTCGCAATAAATTGCAAACAAGTCTCCAGCGAGAGCGCGACTCCAGAGCGCCGAGAAAGCGATGTCTGTTTAAATTGCAAAGAAGTCCCAAGCGAGAGCGCGATTCCTGAGTAAAACGCAAGGAAGTCTCAGGCGGGAGCGGGGGTCATGGCTAAATTATAAGGAAGTCTCAGGCGGGAGCCGTTGTTGCTGTAACCTGGAGGCCAGGGGCACAGTTTGACCCCCGTGACTTCCCCTGATAAGAAACAGGGTGCGAACCCCGGGGGAAGCACTTCAGTGGAACAAAAACACAAAATGGTCCCTGGAGGGGGAGGATCAGCAACAATTATGCTTCCTTAGTGAGAGCTCAACGACCACAACAGCGACGGCAACTATTGCGGTTAAGCCGGCGCGGTCGCATCGCGCTCAGCGACGAGGAGGAGGAGGGGAGGAGGAGGAGGAGGAGGAGGAGGAGGAGGAGGAGGAGGAGGAGGAGGGAGGAGGGGGGGGGAGGAGGAGGGAGGGGGGGGAGGAGGAGGGAGGGAGAGGGAAGGAAGAGGGAGGGAGGAGGGGAGGAAGAGGTCTGGAGGCCAGAGGGAGAAAGGAAAATTCAGAAGGCAACTTCTGAGAGGGAAATCCCACCAGCCCTTTAGGGCGTAGGTGGCTTAGGGCGTTTCCTCTTCCACCCCCTTCTTCCCCTTAGGGGAAGGGTTTATCACTGTTCCCTAGAAGTATACACCCCCTCCCCTGGGCGACTGGGAGCCAACCCAGGTCGATGAGAGCTCCCCCCCACCATCCCTTGCAAAAAACAATACAAAACAAACTCTGCCCCCACCATCCCTAGGACAAAAGCAATACAAAACACACTCTGTCTCCAAATTCGGAGCATGCGCAGCGAACCCGATGCGGCCTCCCTTCGCCATCCCTGTCAGAAAACAATACAGAGTACACTTGGCGGCGGCGGCGGCGGCTGCGGCGGCTGCGGCGGGGGCAGCGGCTGCGGCGGCTGCGGGGGTGGCGGCGGCGGGGGCGGCGGCGGCGGCGGGGACGGCGGCGGCGGCGGCGGCGACGGCGGCGGTGGCGGCGGCGGCGACAGCGGTGGCGGCAGCGACTGCGGCGGCAGCGGCTGCGGCGGCGGCGGCGATTTGGCAGCGGGGCGGCGGCGGCGGGCGGCGGCGGCGGCGGCGGCGGCGCGGCAGCGGCGGACAGCGGCGGCGGCGGCGGCGGCGCGGCGCCGGCGGCGGCGGCGGGAGGCGGCGGCGGCGGCGGCGGAGGCGGCGGCGGCGGCGGCGGATTGGCCCCCAGTAGCTGCCCATCCAAAGACGACTGCTGCATATGCTGCGGCTCGGGCCAGGCTCGGGTGCTACGTATGTGTTGGGAGGGCAGGTGGGAGTGAGCGAGATGGCTTGCGGGCGGGGAGGGCGTCTTGACCCCTCCCACTACCCCTCTCCTGGACCTGGACGGGGCGTTTCGCGAGCGGTCGGAGCGTCCAAAACGACCTCGGCGAGGAAGCCAAAATCATTGGTTTTACTGGTGTCTGGGGCCCATTTGGGTTGGCCTCTTGGGGGGCAGCGCTGATTAAGGAAACCCCCTTCTTTGATCGATCTCCTCCGAGATGGTCCCACGAGCGCTCCTAAGGCTCCCAAGAGGGCCCCAAGAGGTGGCCAGGAGGCCCCAAGAGGCCCCCAGGATACCCTCAAGAGGCTCCCAAGACACCCCCAAGAGGCCCCAAGAGGCCCCCCAGAGGCACCCAAGACGCTCAAGAGGCCTCGGCGACAATGCCAAAATTATTGATTTTATTATGGTGGTGGCCACGTTTTGGCCTCCTGGGGGGCGAGGCACTGCTTAAGATGACTCCAAGAGCGCCTGGGAGAGCCCAAGATGACCTCCAATATGGCTCAAGGTATCCCAAGATGCCTCAAGATGGCTACCACGATGCTCCAAGAGGCCCCAAGACCGCTCCAAGACGGCTCCAAGTGGCCAGAGAGCTACCCCAGGAGGCCCCGAAGAGGCCAAAATCATTCCAAAACCCTTGGAAATTCAATGTTTTTGGCTTTCTCGCCTTTTCGCTTCCGATGGCCATCCGAGGCTTCAAGATGGCTCCAAGATGGCCCAAGAGGGCTCCAAGAGCGCTCCCAAGGCTCCCGAGAGCGTCCCAAGAGGGCCCCAAGAGGCGCCCAGGAGTCCCCAGGAGGCCCCAACAGGCGCCCAAGATCCCTCCAAGAGGCTCCCACGAGACCCCCAACAGACCCCAAGGAGCTCTCCGAGGCACCCAAGACGCTCTAAGAGGCCTCCAAGACGCTCAAAGAGGCCTCCACTGGGGGACCCTTCCTCTGTGTGCTGCCCACTTCCCTGATCGAGGCAATTCCTCTGGGCATCGTTTCTAGATGGGCTGGTGTTACGCGAAGCGTCTACAGTTTGGGAGGCAATCTCTGGGAGGGAAAAATTCAGGAGACAACTTCTGGGAAGTTTAGGAGGCAGCTTCTGGGAGGCGTGTAACTAAAAAGGCTATTCCTTCGGATGCAGGGACCACTGGCCCGGAGTAGCCCAAATTCAGCCAAGGATTGAGCCAGAGGAGGCGGGATGAAGCGGAGTTGTGCGGAATTCTGCCAGGTCAGGCAAGTTTTTCTCGACCACGGACATTCCAGCGCAGATGCTGAATTTAGCCTCCCAGGAGATCCATCCTACGGCAGGGAGGGGAAAGCAGGACACCGGATCTTGCTATCCCTGCGGTTTGGGCTGCCCCGAATGAGCAGCGCTTATGCTGACCCATGTGGTCATGTGGCCGCTGCCCCATGCCATCCTACCTTGCTCGGGATCACAACGACCCCAAGCCGTGTCTTCCTACAGCGCTCGGGATCCTACTGCCCCCATGCCACCCAACAGCGCTCCACGAATCCGCCACCGTGCCTACACGGAATGGGCGTGTTCTAATGCTCCTGTAGTCCCTTTAGGAGTGTGTTTTTATATTTTCCAGGGCCGACCCCCTCCCCAGTTCGCACGCGCACCCGTAGACCGCCGCCCCTGAAATCGTTTCCCGGCGCTCGTTTCGGCCTCCAGATGGTCAAAATGGACTCTAAGACGGCTTCCAAGACAACCAAGAGGCCCCCAAGACGGCCCAAAAGGGCTCCAAGAGGCTCTCCAGGAGAGCCTGAGACTCGTAGATTTTCATTCGGTTTGCCAGGTTTTGAAAATCTCTCCTGTTTGGGCCTCCGATCGCCCAAGGCGGGCCCAAATACCTCCAAGATAGCTTCAAGACGGTCCGCGAGGCACCCAAGAGGGCCCCAAATCGCCCCAAGAGGACCCCAAGATCGCCCAAGAGGCTCCCAAGTGGCCCCAAGGGGGCCTAAAGCGCTCCAAGAAGGCACCAATACGGCCAAGACAGGCCCCCAAGACGGCATCCGAAGAAACGCCAGACGAGCCAAGAGCTCTCTAAGACAGCCCAGGAGGCCCCAAGAAGCCCCCGAGGGGCCCCAGGAGGCCCCCAAGTTAGTCAGTCCGTCAATAGTCAGGAGCCTCCCCCTCTTTGGGGTCAGCGAAGGCTGGCCCCAGTGACGGGGAGGGCGGCAAGCTGCCATAGCAGACAGGCGCGCCCGCCAGAAGCCACGCGGCAGCAGTACAGTAGAAAGACAGGAATGCTGCCAGTGCTCAGTGCAAGGTGAAGGATTTGTTTTTCCCCCGTGGGCTTCCAACCACCGTGACTTTCCCCACTTCGGGGGCTTGCAAACAGCCTGCACGTGGCGCTTACAGGCTGCAGCAAGAAAATAGCCCAGTGCCGCCAGAAAAAAGATCCACAATTTGTTGCGGCACGCTGGGGCTCTCACCAAACGGGGATGGCCTCCGAACGCGCAGTGCAAGGTGAAGGAGGGCTCCATGTCACTCCAGAGTTCCGCAGTGTCCGATGTGGCTTGCCGAGCCCTCGCCACAAACTTCAACGAGGCCGTCGCTCCGGCCTCTCGCTGGCTGGCCGGTGCGGTCTCCCGAGCTCTTGAATACTCCCACCAGGGGGTCCACAAGAATACTCTACATGACCATTTGTGCATGTCGGTTGATAACAAGTTACCTGCTGCGTTCCATGTTCGGGCCCTGTGTTGTGCGATCCAATCGCGAATACCAACAGATTCTGTGCTGCGCGCTGCAGCCCACCTGACCATGACCTGACCAGCCAACCAGGCCCCCAAAAGGCCCTCAAGAGGCTCACAGGAAGCATCCGGGAGGCCCCCAGAAAGGGGCCCCTGAGTCATTCTGCTCATCGTGTTCATATTTTCCATGTCCTTCTCCTCATCCTCCTCCTCCTCCCCCTCCTCCGTTTCTTCCTTCATACCGCGAGGACGAAGACGAGGTCGACGTCACGCCCTTCCCAGTTCAGAGCAGTCGTCGGCATTGCGCTCTTCCCCCACACTCAGTCTTCTTCCTGCTGCGCTGTTGCTCAGGCACGGTGGCGGGGTTCGCCGCAGGCAGCTGGATGGTTAAGACGAATCCAAGACCGGGACGAAATCGGACCAGGACATCTCGGGTACCAGACATCTGCCGTCCCGATGTGTTCGAGACACGGGTCCCCGCCCTCTCGACTGCTTCCCCGGGACCGATGCTTCCTCCCGCGTCGTTTTGTTTGACGGTCCCGAGGCCCGGCGAGGGCCCCGAGAGGCCGAAAGCAGCGAAAAACCTTGATCTCGATCGCCCGATGTCTGGGGGAGCGCCGGGGGGAGGAGGAGGAGGAGGAGGAGGAGGAGGAGGAGGAGGAGGAGGAGGAGGAGGAGGAGGAGGAGGAGAAGGAGGAGAATGAGGAGGAGGAGGAGGAGAAGGAGGAGGAGAAGGAGCAGGAGGAGGATGGGCCTGAGATCCAGCGGACGCCTCGGGCGCCGCGGCCGCTCCCGGGGCGCTCTCCGGAACGCGCTCTCTCGGAGCGAGGCAATAAAGATCCCGGTCCTGGGCCCGCCCGAGCAAAGTGCCTCGTCGGCCCCCTCTCCCTCCGGGAGCGGCCAAGAGGGGGGTGTCCAAGAGGGGGGGGTGCAAATCATGACCGGCGGCATGAGCGCGGCCCAGCGGGGGGGCCAGGGACGTAATGAAATAAGAAGAGGCGCCATGAGATCTGGGGAAATATCATGGCCCCCGCCATGGTATCCACCCCCCCCTAGTCATCACCCCCCTCTTTTCCGCTCCCGGGTCCCTCACGTCACTCGTCGACGCGCTTCAAGACACGTGGCCGGCAATGCGGGGCAGGCGCCTTCTAGCGGAGGTCGGCGGCGAGCGAGGGAGGGGAAGCGAGAAGGAGAAGGCCCTCTCGGAAGGTTCGGAGGAGGAGGAGGAGGAGGTGGAGGAGGAGGAGGAGGAGGAGCAGGTGGAGAAGGAGGAGGCCTTCTCGGAAGGTTCGGAAGTCCCCCCGGCCTTCTGAGAGCTCTCGGAGCCTTCCCCGAAGGCAGACACTTGTAGAGGCCTCGGTCCCCATCGTGACGCCACCGCGAGGTGCGCCAACACACAGGGGGGGGGTTTTACATGGGAGGAGGCGATCGAGCGGGAGGATGAGCGGGAGGACGCGGAGGAGGAGAAAAGAAAGGAAGAAGAGGAGCAGCAGGAGCAGGAGCAGAAAAATCAGCGGAAAGCTGAGGCAGGGAAAGGAGGGGAATGGCGACGACGAGAACGAACCGAATCCAGAAATGCGGAGCGCCGTTCTGAACGACGGGAGCAAAGCGCCGATCCTGACATGCGGCCGTTGCTGCAGCGAGAGTACCCCTGCTGAATGACCGAGGACATTCCGAACGAAATAATACGTGTAACACACGACATACAATACCACGGAACACCACCAGTGAAAACACGGCACGCGGGGGAAGCGGCATCCCGGCACCATCGGCCATCATCAGGGGAGGGAGGCAAGGAGAAGTCATATGGAGCGCTTGTGGAATCGGTGAGCGGAGAGAGGAAGAGGGGGAGAGAGGACGAGGGATGATGAGAAGGACAGGCCAACAAGAGAAAGCAACCAAAAAAACGAACCGTCAGAAACTGGTCGCCCTTCGCTGCTCGCGCGTCGCTCACCGTGCACACCCTGGGCTCTTGATACCCGCCCCCTTCGTCTTCGATCGTATCCCCTTTGGGGATAGATTGAAGGGGCCCTGGGACACACAAATAAATACACACAAATAAAAGGATTCCCAATATCTTCCTATACTTTCTGGGTTTTTGTCTTCCCCCCCCACTCCCCATATTTTCCAATATTTTCTTGGGAATCGACGATTAATTGTGTCTGTGTGCTTTTTCCCCTTTGGGGATATACCTTCCTTGCCTGCCACGTGTAGCTGGCGCGGCCCCTACAGCAGGAGGAGGAGGGGACAGGAACGAGGACAGGGCGGGGAGAAGGAAACGAGAAGCGCGGGGAGCAAAGAGAAGGGAGGAGGCTGGAGGACGAAGGATACCTAGCAGAAGGGGGGTGACTACCTACCACACCACCCCAACCTAATCCAAAGACCAGAATTTCGGTTGGGGGGGTACGGGATCCACACGTGTTTTTCCAATGTTTCCCGACACACACACACACAAATAGGAATGGAGGGCATTCAGGCTGGGTTGGGGTGGCTTGGTGGGTGGTGAGACGAAGAGGAGAGAAAGGAGACGAAGACGAGAGGGCCCCGACGGGTGGGCTGGCCCTAACGGACGGACCGGGCGCATCCAAGCGGGTGGGCAGCATCTCGAGCACGCGAGAGGCCCTACTCCGAAGCGCAGGTCGGGCGGGCGGACCCTGACGGGCGGGTCGGGCGGGCGGGCCCTATCGCAAAAAACAGGGGGCACCACGAGAGGCAGCGACCAGAGGGCACCACGAGAGGCACGCCGCAGGCCGCAGGGCACCCACAAGGGCCAGAGGGGCCCAGGGACAACATGGGCGTCGCCCGCGAGATCGCAACGGCCAGTACAAGCGAGACTGGGAACCCTACTTGGCGGCGCGCACAAGGGGGTGGGGGGGGGGGGGGGGGGGAGGGCTTCTTAGAAGGAGGGTGCTTCTTAGAAGGCGCCGGCCTTACGCCTATAGAGAAGGCCCTCGCCTTCTAAGAAGCAGGGATGCTAAGAAGCAGGGATGCTTCTAAGAAGCCCTCCCCCCTCCCCCCACCCCCCTCTGCGCGTGGCTGACCTACGGGCGGTGGCCTGGAGATGGACACAACTCGGGCCAGCGGGACCGGCCAGGGAACACATCAGCGCAAGCCAATAGAAGCGAAACAACCAGAGCACGCGGGACCTGGAACCCGGGGACCGTGGGGGCAGCGACCAGGAAATCGCAGCAAGCAGAACCAATTCCTTCTGAGACAGGATAGAGGCAAGCGCTGTTTAGGGAACTCTGCGCATCGGCCCAACGACCTAAGAAGAGACTGGGAGGAACTTCCGCTCCTCCTCCTCCTCCTTCTCCTCCTGCTCCTCCTCCTCCTCCTCCTTCTCCTGCTCCTTCTCCTCCTGCTCCATCATCTCACCACCACCACCACCACCACCACCATCATCATCATCATCATCATCATCATCATCATCATCATCAGCATCAGCATCAGCATCAGCAACATCATCATCATCATCAGCATCATCATCACCACCATCACCACCACCACCACCACCATCATCATCACCACCCCCACCAACAACACCATCACCGTCATCATCGTCACCACCACCACCATCATCAGCATCAGCATCAGCATCATCACCATCATCATCATCAACAGCAGCATCATCAGTATCATCAGCATCATCACCAACATCATCAACATCATCATAAGCACCATCATCATCATCAGCATCATCATAATCATCATCATCAGAATCATCATCATCGTCATCATCATCGTCATCGTCATCGTCTTGGTCATCGTCGCCGTCGTTGATATCATCCAGCCTTACGTAGGGGAGTAACTTGGCCGTCGGGAGGGCCTAGATGTGCGACGGTGGCTCCACAAAGCGTCCATGACGGCACGCTTCGGGAGCGAGATTCCGTCACTGTGGAACTGCAGCACGGGCTTCACGATCCTACGGTCCGCCGTGCCTGGTCCGAGAAGGAAAAGAGTCGTCCACGGTCCGAGAAGGAAATGGGTCGTCCCCTCAGCGAGTGCTTCTTCCACGGTCTCGTTCGGGCAGGTCCCAACAGTCAGGATTCTCACCGCGGTAGGTCTTCGTAACACGTGCGGCTTCTGGAAGCTTTCGGCTGCGGGCATCTACTGGTGCGACTGCCTGGACAACCTCACGAGCGCCTTCGCCTCCGCACATCGGTCCGATAGGGTGAGCGACCACATCTATACATGTTCGCTGCTTCCTGGTCACTATGCTGTTGGCGCACTACGCTGTGGCACTTTAATATTAAAGTGGCTCTCCCTGGTCTTGTTTCTGAGGATGTCGTTGAGGGAAGGGGCTCGAAGCATGTACGTTTCAGGCACATGCACATGTTTGTCCGTGGCAGTCGGAGGTGGTTCCTGCGGGGATGGCTGCTTTTATCGAACAAGCGCGGTCAATTATATCCGCCTAGTTCATCACGCTCTGAAGCTATATCAGAACCTCGCGGTCGCAGCCCAATCTACTCCATGCCGTGACTTTCTGGGATCGTGAGGGTGATCCGAA